CCCAGCGGCTCTGAATTCGGACAGTCTGTACGGTGGTCCGTAGGTCCCGTCACAGCCGTGGCGGCAGCTACACGCAAAGGAAAAATGCTAAAGCTAGCGAAAATTGAGCAGAAATATTTAGCTTCCATCCATCTGATCCGGCTCTCTGTGCTTGTAAAATAATGAATGGATATTTAAATAAAATGCTTTATATTTTACTGAATTAATTTTATATCTGTAAGTCAATTCTATGTAAAGATTGTCTGTGTAAACCTGAACAGGTCCAACCCAGTCTTACTGTGAGACCGGGTTGACGGGTCGTGCGTAATCATAGGCGCTTTCTGAGCTGAAGAGATTCTGGGATTCTCCTCAGACGGCTCCTGGATGTGTCGCCACATTGGAGACAGGAACAAGCGCTATTCAGCCAAAGTTTCATAATCAGGGAACATTTTCTAAGCGACAAGTCTCTCTGAGAGACAGGGTTTGGAAAACACTCGCTTCAGTGGGAGGGATCTTCCCGCATGCGCTCTGGTTCTGCAACGCGCTCCAAGCCAATCTCCACAACTTCAGCTCGCTGTGCACATATGCGCTGACAGCGAGCTGCGCTGAGCAGCTCAGATGTTCAGATGGGAATCTTTTCTTGGGTGATTTAGCTACATCTGCGATGTGCGTAACGAATAAAATGTCAGTTCGTCTGCATGCGTCGGGGTAATTCTTTCTATTCTTTCTCCGTCAAAATAAACCGTCAAATACGGGAACTATCCAGTCAACACAAGCCCTGCTTTTAACTGTTTTTCTGTGACTGTAAATGAGGAAAAAAGAAATTGATCGGATCCTGCACGTCTTTTAACACATTGGTCAGGATTGAAGCACTTTGTTTTCATTTAGTTTTTAACCCTTTAACGCCGATGCGTCACCAGGATCACCGGTGACGCATCGGCGCATGTGATTTCAAATAACTCCTCGCTACTTAAACTATAAAATTCTTAAAAAATACATAAAGGAGCTAATGTGTGGTGCTTAAAGGGGTAATGAAAGCAAGGCCGTTTCATATTCTATTCTCCTCTGTCATCAGGCAGTGATCGAGGTCGCTTTTCTAAGAGAGACCTGATCGGAGAAACTCCTCCAAATGTCTGACTTGCCTTGCTTTGGTTTTTGTGTCATGAAGGCCTTGTTTCAGCTTCTTTTCAACATCAGTTGCCGACTCCATAATACTCATCCCGATCCCTGCGCTGTGCGTAACGAATAAAATGTCAGCTCATCTGCATGCGTCGGGGTAATTCTTTCTATTCTTTCTCCGTCAAAATAAACCGTCAAATACGGGAACTATCCGGTCAACACAAGCCCTGCTTTTAATTGTTCTGTTTTCTTGTGAAAATTGTTGGAAAAAGATCAAATTTAACTTGACTACCACCAGAGCCAGTGCGCCGTTATCTCCGTGACGGTAAACGAGGGGAAAACAAATTGTTTGGATCCTGCATGTCTTTTAACACATTGGTCAGGATTGACGCACTTTGTTTTCATTTAGTTGGTTAAAAAAAAGTCGGGCTCGGGTCGGGCCAGAGAATCCTGAAAACCTTTTCGGACCGGGTCGGGCTGGGGCTCCACCCCCTCGGGCCGGGCCGGACACGAGCTCAGATTTTAGGCCCGTGCAGGGCTCTACTGCAGCTGTACCCCCGTTAGTGAGAGAAGCCTTTAAATCTGTCCTTCAGAAGTGAAATTGGACCTGTCAAACTTCTCATCACCATTCGAAAAGTACTGCACCGAATTGAAAATTTCAAAAGGCTTGAGCGGCAGAAGGCTTTGAGGATCATCTGTGTGTATTTTTATGTGCCTACCATGAATTGTCTAGAAGCTATGACGAGAAACTTTTAGCTGTCTGAAGCCGATCAGAGGAGAAAATCTCTGTTCTTTTAACATGGGTTTCAATGAGGGAAAATCTGGATCTCTCCTCTTTCTGAGGCTTGTAGCGAAAGAACGGTAACACTTACAGATAAAATGAAACCCATTCTGAAAAGCTGACAAAAATTCCTACTTTTTGAGTTATAATTTGTTTTGATAGTCCAAACGGTCTGGGGGTAGTAAAGAGTTGTTCACAGAAGATGTGAAGTTCAAAAGTTAAGAGTGCGGAATTTTCAGGCCCTGTCCACACGTAGCCGGGGATCTGCCAAAACGTAGATATTTTTCTACGTTTTGGCCTGTCATCCAAACGAAAACGGATCTTTTTAAAAACTCCGGCCAAAGTGAAGATCTGTGTTTTCTCTGTTTTGGGTGTCTGCGTGTGGATGGACAGACAAAACTGGAGTTTTAAGGTCCGCAACGTCACTTTCCGCGACAAAAAAATGCTGACATCACGCGTGCGACCTGTGTTTACACTAGCCGACAGCATGGATGCCCTCAGAGCTGCGCTCGCTTTATCAATTGTCCAAGTGCTTTTTGCTTGCTTGTTTTTGCAAGTGGAATTACTGCTCCTTGCGGAAGACCACAGACGAAGGATGGGGTTAAGAACGGGGGAAGTACTGCCGCCTACAGGTCTGGCAAGTCTTTAATAACATATTTTTCCGGGTATGTGTGGACAGAGTTTTTTTTAAAACGAGGTGGTATGGATGCAAGTTTTTGGAGGGGCGGATATTCATTTTAAAAAAAAAAACCCGGCTACGTGTGGACTAGGCCTCAGTTTAGAGTGGTGAGAGACATTTTTTCAAATTTGAATTTTCTCAAACAAATGAACCGTACGACCACAATGTTTGGGGTACAGTCATGAATTATAGCTCAAAACGAAGATATATTCGTTAGCTGTAGGCCAGTGTGTGTCTCATTTCAATCGGATTTACGGTTCTCTCGGGACAACGCCGGAAATGGAGCAAGGGAGGGTCACTGCTCCTATCTTTCCCCATTATAACTTTTGTGAATTTTTCTGAAAATTTCATGTCGTACCTCAACTTCTACATGCGATTTTAGAAAAACCGTACAAGATATCAAAAAAGCCTCCTTAATATGTTAAACAGGAAAGTCTTGTGAGTTTGTTAAAGTTTGAATGAAGTCTTTAAGTTAAAAGGAACCCAATAGAGTTTGAGGTCAAAAAAGTGATAGGAATTTGCTGAAAATTGACCAATCCCATTCATTTCAATGGGAAAATTTTCGCAGAAAAATCTTAATAACTCGAAAAATTTGAAAGATATCAATGCCAACAGTAATAGCCGGAAAGAGCTTAACGAGCTGAACGTTTTGATGTAAAATTGTTGAAATAGCTCAAAATTTGAAGGAGAAGAAGAGGTTCAAAAATTGTACGGAAGCAAAATAAGAAGAAGAAGAAAGAAAAACAGGAAAACAATAGTTTGAATGCTTAACAGCATTCAAACTATTATGACAGTTGCCCATCCCAAAACCCACTTCCTAGGAACACGCACCCACACCCACACGAACAACAAATACACACATGCACACACACAAAACCTTATTTAAAAAATTAAAAAATACATCGTAAGTAAACACTAGGCCGAGTTCAGATGGGTTAGGAAACAAATGACACCCCATCAGGTGAGCCATCTGCTTCAGTAGTAGTCGATCGACGGCAGCAGCCAAGGCACCAAACCAGGGCTCACAGGGAGGTAGGGCGAAAAATCCCACCACCGCCTAAGCACTCCCCAAGGTGCGCCCAGGCCGCCACTGTCGGCCACCACCCCCGAGGCAGAGGCGAGGCAGAGGACCCCAGAGGAAAACACTGGCACTAACAAATAAGTAACATAAAAAATGAGAAGTGCTAATATGGATTGTAAAATAACAAAAAATAAGTGATTGATAGTAAAACACTAAGACATAAATGTCTAATAAAACTAAAATATAAATAATAAAATAAAAATAAAACAAGCAATGCAACTAAAAACAGATATCAATTAAAATCTATGGCAAAAAGGTGAGTCTTAATGAACACATAAACTAATTTGAATAAAATAATTTTTTTTTAAATTGCACTAGCAAAAATATCCGAAGATATTTCAGAATCAGCTTTATTGTCAAGTACGTGAGCTAGACTCACGTTACCAGGAATTTGCTTTGGTGGTTGTTATTGTGTTTTAATTATATGCACTACTGGTGTTTGTCGGTCATTTTTTCACAGCTGAGTCACACTATTTGCTAGTCTGCTTGACAGACACACCGATGAACCAATCAGGGCAAATTTAAGGCAGCGAGTTGGTTTGTTTATCTGGGGTGCTCAGTACACCTGAGGAAAATAATCAAATAAACCGATGCATTAAGATGAGGACATAAACAATTATGAATCTTTGAAAAACACCATAATCGAACAAAGTAGCTAGCCGCTAGCCCGCTCCATTTCTAAGCAGTCATTGCAGTGTTTCCCAAACACAGGCTCAGAAGGTGAGGGATTTTCCTGTTTACACATAATCAAGTGGTTAAAATACTACTCTCCAGATAAAAAAAAATAACTTGACAGAAACAATAAAAGGTTCGTGTTGCCTAAAACATCTGATCGGAGTAAATCCAAATGGAATATATTTCCAATTGTAATGTAAAATCAGACTTCACCTCCAGCTCACTAATCCACTAATTTTATTCCTGAGGAGGTTTCAGTGCCATCTCTCCCTTGTTCTGTGGAGGTTTTGTTCTAATTCACTCGCTCACATTCCTCTCAGCAGCAGCAGCTCAGTGAATAAACAGTATATCATGGGAGGAGCTCTCCCTCCCTCCTGAATCCTGCTGAATAATGTTCTCAAATTTAAATCCCTGACAGAAAACCCAGCAATCTGTTCTACAACTCACTGATGCTGGAGGAAAATCTCTCAGAGGGATGTGTCGCTCTGATAGAGGTCAGTGCATTAAATAAGTGAGGGCTGTTTTAAATTTGACTTTCTCCTCAGTTTGTTAGTTAGTTGAGGTGGCTCGGGCATCTGGTCAGGATGCCTCCTGGACGCCTGCCTGGTGAGATTTTCCGGACACGTTCCACCGAGAGGAGACCTAAAGGTAGACCCAGGACACGGTGGAGGGACTATGTCTCTCACCTGGACAGGGAACACCTTGGGATTCCCCCGGAGGAGCTGGCCCAAGTGGCTGGGGAGAGGGAAGTCTGGGCCTCTCGCCTTAGGCTGCTGCCCCCGCAACCCGACTCCGGATAAGAGGATGAGAATGGATGGATGGGTTTACATCTGCTTCTGAGTGGTTGAGAACTACATAATGGAGAATAAATGTGAATCAAGGTCCCTCAGTCTCAAATGTAACTGGACTAGACTCCTGAAAGTTTGGTTAGCAACAGGATCAAAGGATCCACATGACTAAAGGCAAAAGAACATGCAGCAAGTAACTAAAACACGTCTCTCAGTGACTTCTCAGATAACGACGAGCTGGTTCTGATCAGGGACCTCCGGCCTTTTTTACAGAATGACCAGCTATTGTCTTTAACTCAGAAATAGAATGTATTCATGAGTTAGATTTTCCTACCATTGACTGCATGTTTTACTGATCTGAAGCCAGACATGAGTAACAGAGCCTGATGGACGGGACAAGGTGGATCCGTAACTTTCACATGATTAGGAACGGCAGTGTCCGGTTCATCCAGACTGGAACTGGATTCATAGCCGGGTGTTTCAAAACTATATGAAAACAGAACAAGGCTCGCCGTTAGAACCGAATCAACCAGGACATAAACAGTCGAACCAAGAATCGAACCCCTGCGAGCGGATAAACACCGGCGAAGCCTTAAAACGGCTGGTTTCCGAGCGGAGTCCGCCGCAGAGCTGGCTCCACTCCGGAGCTACATTACATCACTTCCAGCAAACTTCACGGAGAACAATGAGAACGGCAACGGTGTCCGTTTCAGCCCGGTAATTACATGACGTAGTCTGAATCAAGAGCTCCAAAACACCGAACCTGTGGGCACGTTTCGGCTACTGTGGGTCGGTTTGTGACCCGGTACTGACTGCGTAGTAAGCCACCACCAGTGAATGAGAGTAACGGCTACTACTACCGTCTGAAAGCATCACGGAGGTAGGAAATAAGCACCGACAGCGGTGCTGTGACCCGGGAGAGGTGCTCACCTGTGGGCCGAGGAGGAGTAACCGGCGGTGTAGCCCCAGAGGTGGTGAAGGACTGTAACCCCGGAGCCCCGCGAGCAGCAGCAGTTATTGTGCGACAGCCAGGACGGAGGGGGCGGAGCTACTACCTGCAGCACGGGGCCGAGCGGCGCGCGCGCACAACATAGTGCGCGAGCATATGCGCGTAAAGAACGCGCTTCTGGCCCGTTCCCGGTCCGAGGTAACAGTAAAAGGCAAGGGCGTAGGAACGAGTTTAATATTGGGGGGGACACATTTTGGATTTTTTTTTAACCGTGTCCTGTCTGGCTCTGAGGCAAGTAGAATTGATGTATGAATGCTGGTAACAAGCCTTACAGATTTATTCTCAGGTGGAGCATCAAAGCGTCCGCTTTTAATGTCACGCCTGATACTTCAAATTTTATTGTTATTGTTTTTGAATGCTTTGTAATTCCGACCAGGCACGGAGACAGAGGTGAAAGAGAAAGGAAAAGACAAATGGTGGGAAGAGTGGGAACACATTTTGGAAATCTAACAAATCTGTTGTAGGTCAATATATATAGGTCAACCTCACTGAAAAAAATACATTTAATAATTATTTCTGATTCTAACGTGTCACTGAGTGTTTCATGCAGGCTGAACATGAACATAGTCTCTTACCGCTATCTCCTACATTAGCTTTGATAGAAAATCTGATAGACGGTGAAACTCTAGGATTAGAAAAGCCTGACAGATGTGACTCAGGGTGTAAGGCAAAGCCCAGAAAGACAAGAAAATAACTTTTATAGCCCAGTTCATTAACATTCTGTTTTCTTTTTTTTTTTTTTTTTTTGATCGGGGACCCATGAGCCAGCCAGAAGGGGAGGAGACTTAGGCTCCCCATTAGCCAGATCCGGGTGATTACCGGTGCCAGTACAAGATCTGCTCGGGTGCAAGATCGGCTCGGGGTCCTTTGACTGCCGATGACGTCAAAGTACGGCAAACCCACTCGGACAAAATACACTACACATCTATACTGTTGGAAAGAATTTAGCAGTTTCGTTATTAAAATAATGTTTCTTAAGATGTACGTTTGTGTTTATAATGGTATTTGTACAATAAAACACTATATTGTATTCATAATGTTGAACTCCTCTTTGAGCACGTCCCTTGAAGGATCATAGGTATTAGCAACACCTGTGAAATTGAATTTGAAGGAAAGAAGTGTGTCCCGTTTATTGAAGTATTTTGTGTTGTTTTTGACGTCTTGTCCATGCGTAGTTCAGTTACGCTCATAGCTGCTAGCCAAAACTCTGGAGTTAAAAGTTTTCTGGCTTTACTAAAATACCTGTCTGTACTTATTGGATTGATGGTAGTTTTACTTTCTATTAGACTACAAATGTAATCATTTGGCACGTTTCTAATTCATAATTTGTAAAAATGTAATCGGTGATATTAGCATTAGCATTCCTATGGGTTTTTCCACGTATATTAGCATTGCGCTAACCACTCGCTGCCAAATTGCAGCCTTGGCGATTAGAAAATCTCCTTTTGTCACATCGCAATTTAATTGCACATGCAGTTAATCGTTCAGCCCTTATATGCATGCAGCTCTATGCTAAAAGTGTCATGAGCTGAACTCAGAAGACCCGCAATGACGCCAAACACAGTAAAAATATATATATATAAAAAAAGGAGGTAAACAGCGAGTGGATCACAGGGACTGAACTGATGTTTTTGAGCAAAACTGTGGTAAAAATGGCTGTTTGTCCTCGTTATCAAGTGTACCCCCCGGTTTAGAGGTGGCGCTCATGCAGTTGTCTCTTTCTGTTCTGACGCTGCAACACGCAATATTTTTAATGTTTTAAGCCTATAATTTATTTTTACTCAGTAACGGATATGATTTAAAATGTAGCGAATTACAATTCTTTTTTAAAAACGTACTCAAGTAAAAGTAAAAGTACAGATTTTAAAAACTACTTTAAAAGTATAAATATACCAAAAAAAAGCTACTCAATTACAGTAACGTGACTTAATGTAATTTGTTACTTTCCACCTCTGGAAACGAGGTCAGGATCTATGGTACAGGCAGAGGTTGGAGTGCTGGAGAATTTACTGGCGCAAAGTCTTCAATAATCTGGCAGAGACTGGGTAGCTGAATGGATCTTTTATAGCAGGGGAAGCAGGTGTGTGAGATGAGCTGAGGAGTCAGAAGCAGGTGAAGAGGATGAAGCTGATTACAGGAACAGGTGAGATGAATGGAGTTGATGGTGGTTGCCAGGGAAACAGGGCTTGTCAGGAGCTTGGTGAGGGGAACAGGTGAGCTGAATGAAGGCTGAAAAATGAAAGTCATGACAAAAAGTGTATTTTCAAAGAGGTAATGATGGATTTCTTTGTAAAAGTTGTCCATCTTTCCAACAGAAAAATTTGCCTGGACCAATGTAACGTGATTACGTAATTCCGTAAGGTTCATGCTCAGCCAATCAACTACTTTGACGTCATCGGCAGTTGACGGACCCCGAGCCGATCTTGCACCCAAGCAGATCTTGTACCGACACCGGCCAACGTGGACGTTTTAATTATTAAAAAAAGCTGTTTATGTGTCAGTACTGTTTTATTTTTATTTAATAGTATGAATGTAGGATATATTATCTTATTCATATGGTTAGAGATGTGTAAACAGATTTAATACAAGACTAAAGCTGTGAATATTCAGTCTGAATTGATCTGACTCTCAGAATATTTTAAACTACATCAGCCAACAATGCTGACCAACCGTACGAAAAATCTGTTTGCTTCTGACAGAATGAAAAACGAAATAATTCACTCACAACAACAGCTGGAACTACATTCATTTTCAGACGGACAAAAGAAAAAACAGTGGCCAAAATTGCAGTCTAAATGCACCAGAATGCAGAGTTTAACACTTATTTTTCTAATATTTCTAAGGAAGCTCACTTATTATCACATTCAAATCCGTGAGGGGGATGAGTGGAAGACTGCTTTCAATACTCCCAATGGCCATTTTGAGTATTTAGTTATGCCGTTTGGTCTTACCAATGCACCCGCAGTTTTCCAGTGCCTCATTAATGACGTTCTCAAGGACATGATAACAAGTCTGTGTTTGTTTATCTGGATGACATTTTGTTTTTTTTCCCAGACCGAGACGCTCATGTGCAGCATGTCAGAGCCGTATTACAGCGTCTTCTCGAGAACCAGCTGCACTGCAAGGCAGAGAAATGTGAGTTCACACAACTCAAACAAAGTTCCTTGGACATGTGGTCTCTCCTGGTTCGGTGCAGATGGACAAGGCTAAAGTACAAGCTGTTCTCGATTGGCCTGTCCCGGCGGATCGTAAGCATCTCCAGCGCTTCTTGGGGTTTGATAACTTCTACAGATGTTTCATCAAAGGGTTCAGTGGCATGGCTGCACCTCTCCATAAACTCACCTCAGCCCAGGTACATTTTGTCTGGGACGATGGAGCCAATAGGGCTTTTACTGAGCTTAAAAGACGTTTCTCTACGGCTTCTATCCTGACACAGCCTGGCCCCTCCAAACTGTTTATTGTGGAGGTTGATGCGTCTGAGTCTAGGGTGGGGGCCGTGTTATAGTTGCATTTAATGGTTCGAGTCCATTAAATAAAAGACAGGTTTGCGTCCTGCTGTCATTTCTCTCCTCAGTTAATGGTTAGAGTCCATTAAATAAAAGTCAGCGGTTTGAGTCCGGCTGTCATTTTTCTCCTCCGTTAAAGGTTGGAGTCCGTTAACTAAAAGGTTTGAGGCCTTTTGTCAGTGAGGGTAAAAGAGGAGTAGATTGGGAAGTAAAAGCAGACCAAAAGACTCTCACACTAGGTGGACAATGAATTCAGGTGGACTCTTAAATATATATATACAAAATAGACGCAACACAGAAGTTAAAATAAACACCTAAAATAAAGCATTTACTCCTGAAGTCAAAATAATAAGTCATTTTATATAAATAAAGCAGAAATTTTATATAAATGAATGTATGAATGCTATTATATTATTTTTTTCCGGAACTGCGCTGCTCTGGGTGGCTGCATGTTTGAGTAGCTCTGTTGACATCTTCTAGTTTCTCAAGAAAAACTGTATTTTTTTGGACACTTTACTTTTCTGTTTCTGGTGCTGTGGAGCTTGGAGGATTTTTACTGCTATTTTTTTCACTTTTTGAGCATTTGTTATGATGCGTAACCATGGCAACACAGTGGTTTACAATCGGGAGCAGCTGATTAACATTGGGAAGGCTGAAATAATACCTCAACTGAAGCCACAAATCCCAAATGAGCTAAAACGCAAGAAGCGTGGGTGCAGAGCGGGAGCAAAACGGAGACAGAGAAAGAGAAAATTCCAACCATCTCTTCCATCGATCATAATGGGCAATGTGAGATCACTGGCCAACAAGATAGAGGAACTTCAAGCCCTTTCAAGGACTTAGCCAGAGTTTCGGCAGTTTCGGAACCGCTGGAGGAGATAATGCAAAGAAGGATTCTCCAGAGAATCAAGAAAATTATAGACAACCCTGAGCATTCTCTTCACAAGACTGTCCGACAGGCTTCTTCAGTTTCGCTGCAACACTGACCGCTACTGGAGATCCTTCCTGCCAACAGCCATTGTAATATACAATAACTCTTTGATGACTTGATTATTATTATTATTCTGAGCTACTACAGCAATCAATTTCCCTCTGGGATTAATAAAGTATTTTTGAATTGAATTGAATTGAACTGAACTGAATTCTGGTCGCAGTCTCCCTGGGGTGCCTGTGCTCTGGGACAGCTCCTGGATCTCTGGGGCTTGGAGCTCCCTCCATCTTCTACACATTTTTGGGGGGCAGATCTGTGGCCCCTCACACTCTATTGGACGCTCCTATAGAGAAACCTTACACATACAAGCGCGTGTACGCACACAGGTGCTCACATGGTGCTCTCATAAGTATGGACTTGGGCATATTCACCACATGTCGGCTGTGGCTGGCACTTAATGCACTGTGATTTATTATTGTGTGATTGTTCAATAAAACAATGTTGATTTTAGATTTCCTCATCAGGTTGATGCAGTGACAGCTTGCTCTTGTATTGTTGTGTGTCCCCTTTCTTTTTTTGTTTTGTTTTTTTGTTTTGTTTTTCTCTTTCTGTAGGTCTAGAAGCAGACTCTTGTTTGTCACTGTTTATTTTTGTGGAAACCCCCAGTGCACCTCTTCCTTTTGTCTCTTCCTTTCTCTTTCTCCTCTGTCTGTCACGATCTGCTCCTACCTCCCTCTGACTCCTACTCTCTCCTGCCCCTGATTAGTTGTTTATTAGTCTCACCTGCCCCTTGTTAACCTGCCCATGTGTTCCTGATTGTTCCCCGTGTATTTACACCTCCCATCTTCATGTGTCCCTTGTCGGATCATTGTCGTATGTTGTCGTTCCCGTTGTATCATCTGCCATTTAATCCTTTTTACTTTAAGTGAGCCTGCATTTCTGCCTCCTGGTCAGCTCCACCACACATGGTCCGCTGCCACCCACACCTCAACGTGACACTGTCTCTGTGTCTAGTCGGAATTATAAAGCATTCAAAAAACAATAACAATAAAGTTTGAAGTATCAGGCGTGACATTTAAGCAGCAGCGTTGATGCTCCACCTGAGAGTAAATCTGTAAGGCTTGTTACCAGCATTCAGACATCAATTCTGTTTGCTTCACAGCCAGACAGGACACGGGGAAAAAAAAGCAGATACAGGTGCTGGCCAGTAAATTAGAATATCATCAAAAGGTTGAAAATATTTCAGTAATTCCATTCAAAACGTGAAACTTGTACATTATATTCATGCAATGCACACAGACCAATGTATTTCCGATGTTTATTACGTTTAATTTTGATATTTATAGGTGACAACCAATGAAAACATCAAATCTGGTATCTCAGAAAATTAGAATATTCTAAAGGCCAATGAAAAAATGTTTGTTTCTCTAATGTTGGCCAACTGAAAAGAATGAACATGAAAAGAATGTGCATGTATAGCACTCAATACTTAGTCGGGGCTCCTTTTGCCTCAATAACTGCAGTAATGCGGCGTGGCATGGACTCGATCAGTCTGTGGCACTGCTCAGGTGTTATGAGAGCCCAGGTTGCTCTGATAGTCGTCTTCAGCTCCTCTGCATTGTTGGGTCTAGCGTATTGCATCCTCCGCTTCACAATACCCCATAGATTTTCTATGGGGTTAAGGTCAGGCAAGTTTGCTGGCCAATCAAGGACAGGGATACCATGGTCCTTGAACCAGGTGCTGGTGGTTTTGGCACTGTGTGCAGGTGCCAAGTCCTGTTGAAAGGTGAAGTCTGCATCCCCATAAAGTTGGTCAGCAGCAGGAAGCATGAAGTGCTCTAAAACTTCCTGGTAGACGGCTGCATTGACCCTGGACCTCAGGAAACAGAGTGGGCCAACACCGGCAGATGACATGGCACCCCACACCATCACTGACGGTGGAAACTTTACACTGGACCTCATGCAACGTGGATTCTGTGCTTCTCCGCTCTTCCTCCAGACTCTGGGTCCTTGATTTCCAAAGGAAATGCAGAACTTGCTTTCATCAGAAAACATAACTTTGGACCACTCAGCATCAGTCCAGTCCTTTTTGTCCTTGGCCCAGGCGAGACGCTTCTTGCGCTGTTTCTTGTTCAAGAGTGGCTTGACACACGGAATGCGACACCTGAATCCCATGTCTTTCATGAGTCTCCTCGTGGTGGTTCTTGAAGCGCTGACTCCAGCTGCAGTCCACTCTTTGTGGATCTCCCCCACATTTTTGAATGGGTTTGTCGTCACAATTCTCTGCAGGGTGCGGTTATCCCTAGAGCTTGTACACTTTTTTCTACCACATTTTTTCCGTCCCTTCGCCTGTCTGTTAATGTGCTTGGACACAGAGCTCTGCGAACAGCCAGCTTCTT